CCGCTCCCCCCCCCCCTGACATTTTGTCAGTCTCAACTATGAGAAGCCCAACATTTGAAGATAACTTATATTGTTTACTTTTGGGAGCTTGTGTATGTATGTGTGTGTGTGCGCGCATGCACAGCTACTGAATTAAAAATCAATCTACTTAGTCACCAATAATTACCACTTCACGCCCACCTTCCTTTTCCTCAAACAAGCCAAAATTAGAAAGTACAAAATAACTGCACTATGTCTCTGAAAGGGCAGAGAAAAATGATCTCTCAGGGCTAAGTTCCGCTGGGCCGAGCAAAATTAAAAAGGAAGAAACATTTACTGGCAATGTTCTCATCCTTCAGGGCCATAGAATGTGGAAGATGAGAGCTGAAGGAATCGTAGGGCTCCCTGTCCCCCAAGATCACAGATAAGGAAATCAGGGCCTGGAGGCTTTATCATCGCTCTGCTTTCCACCCCTTTGTGTGGCTTCCTTCCATTCCTCTTTTTCTTCAAGCTGCTGTCAATCAAAATACATTTGTCCTAAGTGTCTTGAAATGTTGTCAGGCTAGATTGTCCATACTGAAAGCCTGGTTAAACTGGGACTTCTCGCAGGGGACTGCAGTGACCAGGGTTCAAACCTAAAGCGAAAGGAGTAAACCTTTACTGAAGGAAGGACCTTCAATATCAGGAGGGCAGTTTCTGGTGGAGAGTTGGGGAGACTGTCTTAGGCCCAGTTCCCAGAAAACAGATTCTGAGATGAAAATTCCAGGTTTATTAGGAAATGTTCCCAGGAAAAGACTCGTAGGAGAGTTGGAGGGGACGGGGAGCCAAGGAGTCCATGCGAGTGTGTGGTGTCAGGCAGCCATGCAGAGGTGACGTGGGCTCAGTCCCACAGATTAGCTCTGGAGCAGTGTGGGTCCTGCCTTAGAGTGTCCTGGCCGCAGGACAAGGACCGGAGGTGCCCATCCTTCCACACGTGTCAGTTATTAAATTGCTGCCCTCTGGGGGTTGGTGCTAGTGGGGTCTCAGTTCTCCACCCTTCAATGGACCCCAATAAAGGAGTCAGACTACAACTAAGGGGAGAGCTGTATGAGGGGACCCGGCAGAGCCCTGAGAGTACCTCTGCAGATACCTTCCTGACACCTTCACATCATGCTGTGGGCACATCCTCCGCTTCCTCTCACTCCCGGGCTCATTAGGTAGAATCAGCGGTTGGGTCTCAGCTTCCGTAGTCTTTGGAATTTTTATTCTAAATGAGAGTTGAGGAAACGAAGGTTTCAGGCACAGTAAACCAAGCACAAAATCAGAATTTGGGGTTGGCAGACTTTCTTTTCTGCTTCTCTTGGGGAGTATCAGTTTCCAGTAAGGGAACAAAATAGCATATATTCCAAGTGGCAATAGAAAGGAAAATAGAAATGCAATAAATGTTCTAAGCCTTATCTCTAATTACCAAGAACATCACGGTGGTTATTTTCTCCCAGACTTGACTTCATTGCCCAACTCATTACTCTAACAGGAAGAATGAAAAAAGGCAGGAGAATTGTCTGTCCATGTAAAGCAGAGGGAAGGTGGGGGGTGGGGGGTGACAGGAAGAGAATGACAGAGGTGGGCTCATCAAGGGGCCAGTGAACCAGCCCAGGGGGCCCTCTCAGTGAATGTGAAGAAATGGGAACAGCTGGGGTGTATAGAGCCTTCACTATGCTCCAAGCTCTGTTCTGAGGGCTTCTTAGTGAATTAACCCTTTAAACTTCACAATGATGCTGTAAGTGAGGAAACAGAGGAACTTGTTGGAGGTCACACCACTAGTAAGTGGCAGAGCTGGGCTTTGAATCCAGGCCTCTGGCTCCCGAGTTGGCTATGGCTTTCTTAGTAATAATTCCTACTCCTCTGTGGCAGACAGAGCCAGCCCACCGTGGCACTCCTTTTCACCGAGCCTTCACCCGGCCTTAGAACCCTCCTCGTAGCCCTGGGAGACTGCCACCAGTTAATCGGTATGGGCACACAAAATGAAACTTACCTTCATCCCTGGAGGCAGAGAAAGGGTGGAGGGGTAGGTTGAAGCTAGGCTGAGAAGGCCTAAGGAGTTCAAAGGATGCCAGGCAAAGGAGAATTCAGAAAACATGTTTATATTTCAGACTTTATTGGCAAAATGACTGGTGATTTTCCTCTGCGAAATAGTAGCAATAGATATTGATCTCTGGCTGCTGTTATTTGTTTTCTCGCCTTAGTTCTAAATTATTCTATTTATTTCTAGAAAAGTAATTTCATCACCAGACATCCTTTTATTATTCTCAGGGAGCCCCATATATTGGAAGATGTGGTCAACCAATTAAATTGGACTTAAGTAACAACAGCATCAGCAAACAAGCATTTATCATTTTCCACATGCCAGCCACCGTTTAAGTGTCTTTTAAAAATTTTTTACTTTTTATATAGTGAAACATATTTTATGTTTATTAACTTTTAAAATTCTTACAACAACCCTACGAGGTAGGTACTATGACCATTCCCATTTTATAGTTGTGGAAATTGAGACACAGAGACGTTAAACATTTTTGCATAAGGTTATATAGCCAGTAAGTGGTAAAATCAATACACTTTCCATTCTCCCATTGTAACTGTGTAAAGAGCAAGCATAACTTCTGATTAGAAGGAGTGTGTGTGTGTGTGGGGGGGGGATGGAGAGTTATTGTTTAATAGGCATAGAGTTTGAATTTTAAAAGGTGAAAACATTCAGGAGGTGGATGGATGGTGGTGATGGTAACACACCATTATGAACATATTTAATACCACTAAGTTGTATGCTTTAAAATGGTTAAGATGGTGAATTACATGTTATGTGTATTTTACCACAATAAAAAAATTGGGGGGAAAAAAGATAACCAGGGTTCCCCAAATGAGTTGATATAATTTTGGCCATATGCAAAGAAACTTGCTATTCTAGTTTGTCTGTGCAATGTGTCAGGAGGAAATGCGTGCTTCTCTTTTAGATTCTTCCTGGTGTCAAAAGCATGAAAAGACCCCCATTCTTGTTTCTCAAGACCACAGAGCTCTGACACTCTGATGGAAACTACTGATTTGACCACTCAATTTTTCAGATCCTGGTGAAAGAGAGAATGTTCGTTGTGGAGGGTGATACTTTTTAGAGTGAGCTGGCCCATCGGGAGGCTGCACAGCAAGGTTAGGGGCCTGCGCTCTGGAATTCCACTGCACCCTACCTTCACCAGTTATTTGCTGGGTGACCTTAGGCAAGTTGTTTAACATCCTGATTTCTCATCTGTAAATGGGGTGGTAGTGATGGTCTGTGGAGACTCTTGGAATAGTACCTGGCACTTGGGGAGCACTCAGCTCTTGTTAAACTTTATGGTTATGCATTACATCAAACAATAGTGATAATACAGAACCGTGGGGCTTATTGGCTGACACAGATGAGAGGGAGTGAGGTGTAAGTGCTCAACTGATGATAAACTTCCTCTTCTTTCCTCTCTAGTTCCAAGCAGGGTGGAGGGTGACCCATAAGTGAGGACTCTCAGACCTCTTAGTGGATACCCAATGGTACCCCTCTTATTGTCTTTATAAACTGCAGGTGTATAAAGTGATGCTTCTTGACATTCCCTATATGGCTTCAGGGACATCATGTGATATCGAAAGCTGCTCAGATCTCAACATGGTAAAGTGACCATCACACATGGTGTGGACAGTGCTGGCTGCCGGGGCCTGCATGGAGTCTGCCTCAAACACCTGTCCATAACACAATTCTGGGCTACCCAGGTCTTTGAGCTCCTTTGTTTTGTGATGGAGCCGATCTTCCTTCTTGGTGACCTCAGGCCTCTGAAATGAAATATATATATATATATATTTTTAATATATCTTTATTGATTTCAGAGAGAGGAAAGGAGAGGGAGAGAGAGTAATAGAAACTTCAATGATGAGAGTCATTGATCCGCTCCAGCCCGCAACCCGGGCGTGTGCCCTGACTGGGAATCGAACCCCGATCGCCTGGATCCTAGGTCGATGCTCAACCGCTGAGCCACGCCCGGCTGGGCTGAAATGAAATATTAAAAATCACTTTTCCTCCCTACTTCAAAGGAAGAATTGGCTCTGTGTGTGACAGAGCTAATGCTGCCTGGCCCACTATTAACCTGAGAGGAGGCCGCCTCAGGGAAGAGAGGCAAGGTGCTGATGCTGTCTTGGACTCTTTGAGGTCATAGATGTCAAAGTCTTTAGCCATCTGTGGCTTGCCCAGAGCAATGGAGCTCAAAGAATTACCTAGGGGTCAGCTAGAGCCACTAGAACATCCATTTAAGTGCATGTTCTCTCTCGTCTCGCCCAGCAACTGTATGACTCAATACTACTCAGCAAATATGAATTCTCTGCAGTTTATACCCTGACCTGTGGTATTATTGTTGCCCAATTGTTCATGTGGATCTCCAGAGGTAGAACCCTGAGGAATATCTATAGGAACCAAGGCTGTACTTTGGAAAAAGAAATTCCTTTATTAAATTCTTTTGGTTAAGTATGCATCATATGGTCCAGTCATTTGACCCACAATCTCTTTTTTTCTCCCCAGCACTGGCTTGAACCTAACAAGTCCATCTCCAAGCAAATGAAATGTAAGTGTCAATCTGTGGGTTTCACCTTTGCTATGAAGTAGCCAAAGATAGATTCTGTTTCTTGACAGAGTCTTTCCTGGCAGGGAAGAAATTGCTTTAGTGGAAGGTCTGTGGGTGGGGCTTCTCTCTCCCAGGGACAGCTCTGTGACCTGTCTCTTATTTGCTGGCCTTGGGCCTCCTTGCAGTCACTGTTCCCATAGCCTCTTGTGTCTCTCCCTCTCCACCGTCTTATCCTCATATTCCATGTTTGAGCAGGAGAACTGGGTTATATGGTTAAATATCTGTTTAACATAATCACCAGGTGCCTGATTTCTTCTGATTGTGGGGTTGCTAGTAAATGGTTCAGGGTTGGAGGTGCAGTCTTGGGAGTGGTGTATTTTGAAACTAAAATCTTGCTGTAACTTTACTGAAGAGTGTGTTACTCTTTTCTATCCGTCGAACACCCTAAGATAAATATATTTTTTATGAGTAATTGCTTTCAAGCTCTGGTGTTCTGATGTGCCCTTTTAAATTTTTTATTTTTCCCCCTGATGAGCTCTTGGAGAAGTCAGTTTGGAAAGCCTCTCTCTGGACTATCTGATTGTCCACTTGAGGCATTGTGACGAGGATGGTGACTGGTGGTCCTGGGTGGGCATGATGTTTTGTCCTGGTCGCCCGTGCAAGGCTTCAGCCAACCTGCTTTTATTTATGGCTTGGAGGAGAGCTTCTGAAATGCACCTCAGAAACCCATTGCCTGCCCCGAAACCCATTTATCCCTCCGTGCCAACTTTCCCGGGTCTCTGAAACGTGGGTGATAAATCAGCTTCTCATCGGAGATCAGGCTAGCACATATTATGTCGCTTGTCATTCAGAGGATTCTTTATTTTTCCAAATATGAAGAAATTATTCTGGGCAGGGTTTTAAGTGGGAGAAGGAAGAAACTGAGCGTGGATGGCACACTAGCAACCAACATATTTATCCTAATTCTCTTTTCCTCCCTCCCTCTCTCTCCCTTCCTTTTCCTTCCCCCTTCCCTCTCCCATCTCTCAAGAGCAAATTGTCTGGCCAGTGCAAGAAAGACAGCCAGACAGACAGCTAACGCCTATGGCTGGTGTAAGCAGTGGGTGCTGCAGGGAGATGGTAGGAAAGCTGTGTGAGATGAAAGCGGACAGCAGAGAGCATAGGAGATCCAGAGAGGTCAGGCTGTTGGGACGAAGCTGGAAGAGTTGGGATGAGCATCTGATAATAAGTATCAGAGCAGAGGCACCAGGAAGCTCTGGAAAGAATGACTGGCAGGAAAATGAGAATGAAATAACATGTCTGAGAAGAAAAATAGCTGATGCCTAGCTTTTATCCCTTGACTACTAAGTTTTGATATTTTTGTTTACATAGTTTAAAATCCTTAGACAGTTTCCCAGGAAAACTTATTTATAGTAAGTAGTTCTTTGACTTTGGTTCGTAGGTGTCATGAAATATTTTCCTTAGGCTGCACACAATTTTGAAACATAAATCTGTCTCTAAAGTAAGATGTATTTCAACACTTAATAGAAGAAAACATTTAAAACTTGTGAAGAATTTGCTGCTTAAGAGCTTTCTCTCTAACCATTAGTAAATCTGAACAATCTACTCAAAATTTATTGTGTTTAATAAAAGTGGTATAAAGATTGACATATGACTACTGGCCAATTTCAATTTAATGACAAATGGAATCTGAATCCGGAGAAAAGAATTGTGTAGAATTCAACATCTAAACTGGACGCAGTGACTCACTGAGTCTAGGAACGGGCAAGGGCCTTCTTACCTGTCACCCAGCCTCCTGTAGTAAGGACGTTAGTGAAGAATATTTGTATAATTTTCTCAAGATCACAAACCAGATTTTGTTGTTGTTGATGTCTGTTAGTATCAAGAATTTCTGTGCTCTTATCCATATGTTCTGGAAACATGAACTTTAATGTAAATTAGAAAAAATCAGACTAGGGCTTATAAAATATTAACTCAGAGAAACTGGGTCCAACCCCTGGGACTCATTCATGAATTTATCCAGAGGATCTGTGCAGAACCCTGGATGGCTTCCAGCTTGGCGTGGGCCTGCCTTTTACACCCTGCCTGCCTCTGAGTGGGCAGCGAGGGCATAATTCCCTGGAGGAATAGTTTCTCCCGTTCCCATCTCACTCATTAGAGCGATGCCCGACTTTCAGGTCATTTGCCCTGACCTGATTAAGATCCCTCTGACTGTGGGTGTTCCCAGGGCTGGCTGAAGATCAGCTGTCCTGATTAGCAAACTCTTTACAAAGGCATTATTCTTACTAAAAATCACTTTTAATAATATCATGTTTATGGTTTTTTTTAACAGTTCAGAAAAGTTTAAAATGGAAACCACATTTCCTTTCTTCTTACCATTATATCTCCAAGCCCACCCCAAAAAAATAACTATTGTTAGTGTTTTTTGTGTCCCTCTAGGAATTTTTTTACATTATATAAGCTCCCCCAACAGATGTAAAGCCTTTATCAACAAAAATGAAGTAAATCTCTCTCAAGTCTTCTTCACCTTGTTGTTTTCTTAATATTTTTAGAGATTTTTCCATATCTGTGATAGATTGGCTTCATTTAAAAAATGGTTTTCTGATAGTTAATTGTATGCATGTATGTCATTTATTTATTAATGGACATCAAGGTTGCTTCTAGTCTTCTGCTGTTATAAATTGTGCTATAATAAACATGCTTGAATGTACATTTTTGCATCTTGAACATCTGTACTAGGAAGCCCTAGAAGTGGAATTGTTGGATCAAAAAGTATACACATTTTACATTTTCTTAGTGATCAATGGCCATTCAAACAGCTTATAATAATTTATTCCTACTAATGTTATGTAAGAGTGCTTGTTTCCCTAAATATTGTTGAAAATGGGTACAATCAAACTTATTTCTAGGGTGAGCTTATCCTCTTTTCTCCCCAGAATGGCATCATGAGGCAGGAAAGCTCACTGATGTCTCTCTTGTGCGCAGTCCTCTGAGTCCTTACCTGGTGCCGCTCATGTGATGTGGCCTTTGGTCGTTGGCCCCTTTCCCCACTCATCCTCTCTGGAGGTAACTGGTCTTACCCGCCTTTGAGTGTGCACTGGAGTGCGCTGCTGAGCCCTGTGGCTTCTGCCGTGGTCTTGTCCTGCAGATCTGTGGGCGCTGCCTCTTGTGGTCCCCACTCCAGGTCTCCTCACCGGTTGACTCCCCACCATTCTGTGTTCACCACTGGGACAGGTAGAAACTGCTCTTCTGTGCCCCACTTGAGTCTCAGGGACACTCGTGTACTCTAGCTAAGGTTCCCTCTCTGCTTAAACACACCCTGCTGCCATTTCTGCAGTATTGTCCAAAGTCCCAGACACAACACTTTCCCTAAGGGACTCTGAGATTTCTTTGGCCCCTGCCCTGCACTCTGTGAGCCCAGTCCAGGGCGCTGAGGGATGCTGGATTCCTTCTCAGAGCTCCACGGGACGCCTTCCTGTTGGCCTCTCTGGATCTCTCCAAGCTCTCCACCTGCCTTCCTCCCCCCCGCCCCACAACTAATAGTGGCTTTTGTCATTGGATACTAGGTTAATATCCTAAAATGATAGCTTTCTTACATAAGCAATAACTTGTTTATCAACTATAATGGGAAAAGGTGCTATTATTTACAACAGTAATAACAAGTAAAAACAAATTTCTTGTAAATAAATGTAACAAGAAGTGTTCAAGATCTATACAGAAAAAACCATGAAGTTTTACTGTGGAGTTACCGTAGAGGAGATTTAAAAAGAGCTCAATAAATGGAGACTTCTCATGTTTCTGGTTGATGTTGTTAAAGTCAATTCTTCACAAATTAATATATATATATTCAATAATTTTCAAATCAAAATTTCAATGAGGTTCTTTATGGCATAAAACAAACTGATTCTAAGGCTCACTGGCAAAAGAAAATGCTCAAGACCAGCCAATAAATACAGGGAGGGGCAAAAATAGGTTTACAGTTGTGAGTATGCAAAAGAGAGTATAGTCTTTATCATCCTTTATTAATTGTTGTATTATTTCTCATATGAACAACTGTAAACCTACCTTTGCCCCACCCTGTATGTAAGGAACGATAGGGTCCTTGTTTTATTAAATATCAAATCAAGGCCTATGAGTCATAGTAATTAAAAGAGGCCTAGTGACAGACACACAGCAATTAAGATAGACCCAGAAAAAGGAAAAAAAAAATCAGTGGAACAAAAAAAGAAAGTCCCAAATTCAGCCTTTATGAGAATGTGGTTATGATAAGGTTGTATTTCAGGTCAGAGGCAGGAAGACCGATTAGTCAAGGCAGGATTTCAGGCATCCTTTCCTGGGAGGGAAAAGCTAAGGGCATACCTCGGACCACACATAAGATTAATTCTGGATGAATTCAGGAGCCCAGTACATTTAACAACCTATAGAAATTTCAGGTAAAAATTTAGGAGTGTTTCTTTATAACTGTGGAGGAGCACATGACTTCCTAAGGAATCCTGAAACCCCGAAGCAGCAAAACAAAATTCTGACAGATTTGTGCAAAAATTGAACGTTTGTACCAGAATATTTGGCTTGTTCACTGCGCAGAGTAGATTTTCAGTAGATATTTGTCAAATTAATGACTATAAAATGAATTATAAAGAAGTTAAAACACAAGCAAAATAATGGGAAGAGCACTTGCTAAAAATAGAACAGGGACTAATATGCAGAATACATTAAGTGCGGTGCTGTGGACCCAGAGATAAACAACTCAGTAGAGAAATGTGAAAATACACATCGAAGGGATAAAAATAAACGGCTAACAAACTCATAGACAGATGCTCAGTATCATTAGTAACAGGAAAAAGCAAATTAAAACAAGATATTTTTGTTTATTATACTGAGAAAACGGTAAGCATTTTAATATCCAGTCACTGCAGATGAGGGTATCGCTGCTGATGGGAATGCATGCGTGGGTAGAGCTATTTGAGAGGGGAGTCTGGCTGGATCTTTCAAGATTAAAA